AGCCGCCACCGTGTACCCACTCCGGCATCAGCCAGCATATGTAGCTTGGTAGTCAATCCGTACTTGGCATGGGAGCCTTGGCATCAGCCACTTCATGGATCTTCGGAGCAGCGCGCGGTGTTCTGTCCATCTGCCGAAGCACGCACGGTAGATACCGTTGCACATTCTATGGTGGCCGTAGCGAAGTCACCTCGGGAAATACCTTTTCTGGTAAAAGCGCCGAGCGCGGAAAGTGATTTTCCGTTGCGGGGTTTAGATTATCTCGAGAATAGATTGAGAACGTCATTGAGTCAAGCCCCAAAGAGTGATGCACTTGCACTGCCGGCTCACTCGGTGGAGATTTATAATCTGCAAGCTGGCTCTCACTCAAGCATGCATATAGGGCGGCCCTCCCGCGGCAGACTCCTACACTGGCGCTCCGTCACCGTCACGGGAATTTTCACAGGCGATATATAGCGACAGAACAAGATGAGGTCCTTCCGCACACTCACCATTTTCATGGGCATGGTGGCGACTGTCCTTCAAGGGGCTTTGGCAGATACAGCCTCCGACTTACACAACGGTAAACCTGTCGGGAAGGAAGTGACATACCAGGGTGGTAAGCTTCACTCGACTGTGTTCAAGCCGAACCCCTGACTAAGCGAGTGTCTAGTCAAGTTCTATGTTTCAATGCCCAGTGCAAAGCACCGTGGAAAGAGCGCTGCTGCCGCTGTCTTGTTCCTGACAGACATCACTGGTATCCAGGCACCCGAGAACAAACTGTTAGCATCATCCAGCCCCTCTTATTTAACGGCCACTGAACCGTTGCAGTCTCGTTGACGGCTTCGCTCGCGAGGGTTTCGTGACTGTAGCTCCCGATCTCTTCGATGGTTCACCAGCTGTCCTGGGTGACCCCAATTTCAACGTGACCAAGTTCCTCAGCGAACACCCTCCCGCTGTCACGGATCCGATTGTCGACATTGCTATTTCCTTTCTCCAGGATAAGCTCAAAGTCAAGAAGATTGCATCTTCGGGATACTGCTATGGCGGACGGTATGCCATTCGTGTGCTCGATGGCCAGCACGCAGTGAACGCTGGATTTGCCGCCCATCCAACAGCTGTCACCACCGAAGAGGTCAAGGCAGTCCAACAGCCTCTCGGCCTCGCTAATGCCCGTAAGGCAGACCGCTCCCAATTTCCTTGCTCCGCATCTCCTGCTCTATACTGACATTGGGCAGAGAACGATCCGGCTTTCACCTTGGCTCAGCAGACCGAGACGAATATCATTCTGGGCGACCTTGGCCATGGCTTCGCGGCGTCCCTGTATAGTGGCGTCAGGCACGGCTTCGCGGTCCGTGCAAATGTCTCCGAACCCCAGCAGAAATTTGCCAAGGAAGAGGCCTTTGCACAGGCATCTCGGTTCTTCAAAGCGTGGGCTTAGGTACGACGTCTTCACGCAGCGAACCCAGCCGTGCAGGGCGCCTCAAAGCGATTCCGCCGCGCCGCACCGCGCCAACGCATTGCTTCCTCAGATAGGTCATATGTCAACAGGGCGCTTTCCGTGAAGGTCGAGATAATGAATCCACAATTCAGACGCGTGTCAATTGATCCATCTCACGCTTCCTACCTACCTAGTTGTATGTCGCGCAACGCGAATTGACGTGGGCACCTCTAGTGCCACGTACTTGTATGGCCACCGATAATGGGAGCCCAGGAGCGGGTGACTATTGGCGGCGCTCCTGGAGCCCAGAGTTGTTTTGAGTGGCAAGAAACGACTTGACGATGTTGGAATATACTGTAGCGCGCGCTTGGACCCTCGCAAGTGCCTGCTTTGGTTCCCAAGTTCCAGCGGACCCCATCGCTACTGGCACGCCCCGTGCACGAGCCAAGGGTCCAGAAGCAACCTGCCTAGCCCAATCAACAGTAAGTACGTCAGCTACGGGCTTTTTTCTGTTTGGGAGAAATTTCAGATTCCGTTGCAAACGAGAGTTCACTGCCTGTTGCACCTATTCCTTCTCTCTACTCTCTTTTTCGATTGCACAGCCATCGACGCGAATATCACGACGACGACGAATCTCTCTCACTCAATCAAAAACACTTGCCAGCCAGCCTCCTACTTTCACATGGACCAACAGAAGCGTCGTGGCGATCGCCGCCGCGGGGGACGTGGACCTCAACGTGCCCGCGGTCCCAGAAACACAAATGGCCATGGTGGCAGGAGCAACAACAACCATGCCAACGAATTTCAGCAGCCGATCCAGCCTTCAGCTGAAGACTCCGAGCCTCAACTAGGCAGAGAAATGTCCGTCGACAACGATAGACCTCCTTTGACCGAGCCTGTTCCCCAGGACACCCCCCGCTTCGCCGACCTGAACGTTGTTCATCCCACCATTGTCAAGACCATAACGGAGGACCTCAAGTTCGACCACATGATGCCCGTTCAGGCGGCCACCCTTCACGAATTACTCCCTCCCAACCGAAGCGACTGCCTGGTTCAGGCCAAGACTGGCACCGGCAAGACGATCGCCTTTCTGCTGCCCGCCCTACAGACCATGATCACGCAGAACCGTGGCGCTGATGCCGGTATCTCCCTGCTCGTCATCTCGCCTACGCGCGAGCTTGCCATGCAGATCGCCAAAGAGGCTACCAACCTGCTCCAACGCCTGCCGAAATACCGCGTCCGCATTGCCATCGGTGGCACTAACAAGGATCGAGAAGAGAGAGCTATCCTCGGCGGCTGCGACATCCTCATCGCCACCCCTGGTCGCCTCTTCGACCACATGTCTAACGAGAATGTGCTCTGGGCCTTGCGTCATCTTGATACTCTCGTCCTCGATGAGGCTGATCGTCTGTTGGATATGGGATTCATGAAGGCTCTCCGCGACATAGTTGGCCAGCTGCCCGACAAGAAGGCCACCAACCGTCAGGGTATGCTCTTCTCCGCGACCATCGCCCCACACGTCGAGCAGGTCGCTGGCCTGGTTCTGTCTCCCGGTTACAAGTTCATCTCGACCATCCCCGCCGGCGAGATCAACACCCATCAGCGTGTACCTCAACTGCTCATCAAGGTTCCCTACTTCTCATCCGTCTCTGCCGCCATGGTTGGCTCCATCCGTGAGGAGGCTCGCCAGCATGAGGCTTTCAAAGCCATTCTCTTCGCTCCAACAGCCGCCCTGGCCGATCTCTACGGTTTCGTGCTCGAGAAAATTGCCGGCTTGCCGCCAGTCTCGATTCTGCACTCACGCATCTCCCAGAACAAGCGCACCAAGGTGACGAACGACTATCGTGATTCACGCTCCGCTATTCTTGTCGCCACCGATGTAGTCGCTCGCGGTATGGACTTTCCCGGTGTCACCACCGTCTTCCAGGTGGGCATTCCCGCAGATAAGCAGAGCTACATCCATCGTCTCGGCCGTACTGCCCGCGCTAGTGCCGAGGGTCGCGGCATCTTCATTGTCTCCGAGGCTGAAGCATGGTTCCCCAAGTGGACACTCAAAGAAATTACCTTTGTGCCGCACGATGCCGATACTTCGTCGGCTGTTGAGGTCTCGGCCATCATTGATACTATGGAAGAGGGCGACAAGGCCAAGATCTACCAGGCTTGGCTCGGTTATTACAACAATCACATGAAGGCTCTGAAATGGGACAAGGAGGAGCTTGTTGCCCAGGGCAACATCTATGCCCGTGATGGCCTCGGGTGCCCCGAGACACCCGCCATCGCCAAGACGACGGCCGGCAAGATGGGCCTGCGTGGTACGCGCGGACTCGTTGTTGTTCCCGACCCTCCCAAGCAGGGCCGCGGCGGTGGTGGGGGTGGGCGCGGCGGCGGGCGGAGGAGGACGCGGACGGAGGGGTGGACGGGCTTAAGACGACTCTCACGATTCATCTGACTTGATACTGGGCTGGCGCGGCGTCTGTTCATCATGTTGATACCCAACTTCCATACCTTGCTGGGCGCAGCTTGACGTGCTTCGCAGGATAGACTGGTAATGAATACTGAATGACTTTTTACATCGGTCCTTCCTAAGCCCGAGCGAGAAAACGACAAGTCTTTGTCAAATTGTTTTGGTCATTTTCACTAGTCCTGTCACAGGCGTCTGTCTTTCGCATTAGGCCAGCAAGCACTAGACAATAGGCATGGGGTTCGAACAAATCCTAATCACTGGCCACCCGGCATCAAAAATAACGTAGGTTCGCAATAATTCAGTGCTTGAGAGAATAGCCGCAGTTGAACAAGTCCACTGACAGGGGCAGTCAGGTGGTCGCATGTATGTAGAGCTGGATTTTGGCTGTTTCATTGGTGAGATTCCAGTGATTCCAGTGCCTAAACTAGGGGCCTGATTCTGCGCCGGTCCGGATCCTGTGGATTTCCATGGCCGGCTGACTACTAACCGGACCTCCGGACCGCGACTATCCCGTCCAACCTTTCGCGGTTCAATGCGAATTATATGTACCACATGGTCCTAAACAGCAATTATTGACAGGCCTAGACAGTTGCGTCTATATTCTCGTCTGAATCACCCCCCGCCTAAACCCCTCCTACACATAACGCACATCACCAGCACAACATGACAGCGAATGAGATCGCAGCCCCCCTCGGGCCCCTGACTAATTCAAATTTTGCCATCGACGTCGTAGATGCGCAGGCACTGTCTACACCAGACCGCCAGGCCATGCTGTGGACGGACGATGAGTCTCGAACCCTGGACTTATCATTTCGCTACTTTTCTCAAAAGTCGCATTCCTCGGCACAGCTGCTCAACGATCTCGGCATCCAGAAAGGTGACATTTTGATGATACTTCTGCCGCGAGTGCCAGCATGGTAGGAAGCCTGTTCGTGACCATGAGAGCAGTGGCTGACAGTAGACAGGTGGGAAATAGCAACGGGAGCACTGCGAGCCGGCATCGTTGTATCGCCATGCACCACTTTGGCCACCCACAAAGACATGGCTTTTCGTGCGCAAGCTTCAAAAGCTGCTGCATTTATTGGTGATACAGAAACTATTACGAAGTTTCTGCGCGTACGCGACAATTGTCCTTCCATGAGAACTATACTGCAAGCCGATGGACTACCCGTGCCAGGGATAGCGCAGTATGATGAGTTGATCGGAACCTATGATCCAGATGTCCGATACTTGGGAGACCAAACCAAGTCTACAGATCCCGCATTCCTTTTCTTTACCTCTGGAACTACCGGTCCACCAAAGATGGTCGTCCATAACCACCTTTACCCCTTAGGTACGCAGCCCCTGTTGGGTCACGAGCTGCTTCAAGTACTCATCTGACATCCCTAGGTCATGTACCAACTGGCCAGGCTTGGCTTTTGCTTGGACCTGGCAAGCTTTACTGGTCGTTGGCCGAGCAGGGATGGGCCAAGGCAGCTTGGTAAGTATGGTCACTTCACATGATTCATTCTTAACAACGTTGACTTGCCTGTTAGGGCTTGGTTTGCGGCCTGGAATACTGGTGCTGCACTCTTTGTACAAAAGATGCAGGGTGCCTTCTCGCCTCAAAGTCTCGTAGAAACCTTGCACAAGTACCCTATCACAACGCTGTGTGCGCCTCCAACGGCCTTCCGTCGACTAGTGCTGCCGGAAACCCGAGCACTGATACAAGACCTTCCGCCGTTGCAGTTGGAACATTGTGTAGCGGCCGGAGAGGCGCTTGAGGGCGAGCTCGTCAGAACATGGGCATCCATTACAAGCATTGAAATCAAAGATGGTGAGCTATGAACTGGGGCAGGTTAATCTGCAGGGAGCACAACTAATGAGAACTCCTCATAGGGTACGGTCAAACCGAAACAACATTGCTGTGTGGCAACTTTCCGGGGAACAAAGTCAAGCTGGGTTCCATGGGATTGCCTACTCCTGGCACTCAGTTGTGTGTCGTGGATAACAATGGCGATGAGTGTGACGCCGGTGAAGAGGGTGATATTGCCGTGGCGACACACGACATAGATGGCGCACCGCTCAAGGGTATTTATGACGGCTATCTCCAAGCTGATGGTACAACGAGTATCAAGCTGCAGCAAGAAACCCATCCCAAGGAAGGAAGAAAACCCCGCCAATGGTACCTCACAGGCGATAGAGCGAAACGTGACGGCGAAGGTTACTTCTGGTTCATCGGTCGTGCAGACGATGTTATCAACTCCGCCGGATACCGAATTGGTGAGTCTTTGGTCCATCACACTGAGACTGTTTGTTAATAGAGGCTCTAGGACCTTCCGAAGTCGAGGCAGTGCTCCAGGAGCATCCCGCTGTTCTAGAGTCTATCGTGATTGCATCACCAAGTGCGGAACGAGGAGATGTTGTCAAGGCATTCATAGTCCTCACAGATGCCGCAAAGAATGATGATCTGGTGGTACTGGCCAAGAAGATTCAAGACCATTGCAAAGAGACAGCGGCACCTTACAAGTATCCTCGCAGGATAGAATTTGTGGGCAAGGACTTCTTCCCACGAACTGTGAGTGGAAAGGTGCAACGAGCCAAGTTACGTGAGAGGGAACGGAGTCAACAAACAAAAGCAAAGATCTAGGCAGGAATGCAACGCCCACAAAGTTCATTAATAGAAGTGATCTGGCTGAATAATTTGTAACTAACCCAGCAAATCTAACATCAAGAGCGTGTCTTGTTGCATCTCTTCCCGTGAAGGTTCACCATCAAGAACAGGATCTGTCACAGCTGGAAAAAAATGGCCCAAGCCCTCCTGCTGCATGGCATGCATGTCAGCTGCCGATGGAGCCCAAGATGTAGGAGATGGTGGTCTAGTTTCGGCTGACCAAAATCCATCGGGTGCACTCGAGCAGGTGCTGTAATCCAAGATAGACCACATCAGGTCGCAGTCAGCCTGTCTTAAGGGCTCGGCAAGGCTGGCAGGATTATTCAGTCGGGCGTAGCGATGGGCTCGTTTTGATAATTTCTTAAGAGCGTGAACCTGTAAACCATCAGAAACGGGTCTTCGAGTTTATTAGGTGCGAACCTACCATTGACTGACAGCTCTCCCAGTATGGCGATAGGTCGTCAAGAATCTCGCGGCAGATCGAAAGGCAAGTGGCAGAATCTTCTCTGACAGTTTCTCGGGTAGAGAAAAGACCTATGGCGTGTATGGTGCTCGCCATCAGTGTACAATACCCGTAGAAAGACCCGTGGGCGGCGTGACCAGCTAGCTTCGCATCCCGGATCAAATGCGTGATCCTCTTGGCATAGTCGTATCCATTGTCTAAGGCGCGAGACAAGAAAGTGCTCGGGGGTTTTCCGAGGCTGGATCTCACTCGCTCACACAAGAGGAAGGGCTGACTTAAGATGCAATGACTCAGCATGAAGAGGATATGTGAGAAAACAAGAGGCCCGGCCAGAGCAGCATCAATATCAGACTCGCTGCCAGTACAGTAAAGTGCGAGTGCTTCTTCGATGGGTTGCTCAAAGTACCCCTCGCAGGTGAGTAGTTCGGATGATATTGTGGCATAGTCCGAGCTTCCGTCCCACGGAGCTTGGCGAGGGCGGACACTCACATTCTGCATCATGCATTGTGTGCATCGGCCGAGGATAGATGTCATGGCCACGACAAGGGCTGGGTGGCCGGGATGCTGGCCAACCAGGAGCCTGTTCTGAGTGACATCCTCGAGCTTGTAACCATTTGAAGGAAAGGCGGCTCTCCAGAGATGTTCTTCACATGGAAGGGACAGGTGACAGCTCGCCTCAAGAACCGCTGGCGGTCTTGCTCTGGCACAAGACGCAAGTCTGTCCAGCATGTAGACCGACCAGAATACGCGCCGTCTCTCCTCCTTCTCCGCGTTATCGAGGGTTGTTTGGTCATCCATCATGAGGCGGAGGTCTTGAGCCATGCGGACAGCGAGCCCAATTTTCACCCAGGCCGAGTCATGCCGATCATGACCAGCTAGCAAAGCATCAGCCGAAGGAAATACAGGCTGTATTCGGAAACGTACCAGTAAAGTCATAGATGGACAATAACGTGATTGTCTGGACGGTGGCAAGATCTGCGTCCCCTCGCTCATGGAAGTAGAGATTGACAATTGCCTTCCATGACATATTCGCGAAAAGTTTAGCCATTTGCTTGGTACGACCCCTGAAGAATTGATCCTCCGAGAATCTCAGGGCGTGGGCAAGCACGGCGAGGAGCAGGTGGTCAGGCCAACTGCCTCCGTCAAGCTTTTCCCAGAATTTGCTCTCATGAAAGAACGAATACGGCTGGTTATGTGCGTATTGAAAGTAATTCCGAAAGACTGCCCTCATAACGATGTCGGGTATGAGATGTTTCATCTTGCTGGAACTGTTTAGCTTCTGTGCTGAGGGGCGAGACGTTGCTCTTACACGGTCCAATGCTGCGGGTGGAAGGGATCGTTAAAACTGCCATATTCAGCATGTCTCGCCGCGATGGTCCTCGTGAATTCTGACCCAGGCGACGAGTGATCGAGGCTCCTCTCGCTCATGGCACCCGCAGTGACGATGGGTCCGCTTGCGACCGAGAAGCCTACGCCACCAGAAGCACATATCTGCCTGGTGAGCTCTGTCAACTGGCCAAGTTGCTGAGATATGCCATCCAGTGCTGACTCGAGCACGCTCAGTCTGTCGGCGACAGCGAGCTGAAGTCGTCAGCAGCTGATCGAGTCAACCCGGGACTTGAGACGGACTCACAGGGCGTTCTGATGTGTCGGAAATCTGTGACGAGGGATCGTTTGGTACGCGCGACGATATCCGCACTCGAGGGGCGCCCGGGCCAGGATATTGGCACGGTTCTGACAGTCGTCTACAACTTCGGCATGGGTGACCACCTGTGCACCGAGACTTCTTCCTTCTGGAAGAGAAGTATCCAGTCAGCAAGATGCACGCACTTCTTCTCAACTCGACAGATCATACCTGCATGCGATGCATGCCTGGTTGATGCGTCGTATCGGTCGGTATGCAGGCCCCGGAGCGGCACCGGCAACGCTGCCGGGGCTTTCGCTGCGGCTGCTGTTTGCCATGCTCAAAGGTTTCTGTCTCTAGGACAATATCAAAATGAGTCGGTCCGTGGCGGATGGATTGGGTATTGGAGAGGGAACCCACTCCTTCCGGCAATATGGTCCTCCGCAGGTGTGGCGACTGCAAACCCCGCGTTTGATCTCCGCTCTGCTGATAAACCTGGGGGTGGGCCACTCAATCGATAGCGCGATCAACCTCACGCCCAGGCTGCGAAGAGACGTACGGATCTCTTCTAGATCATGCGGCTGTTGGAAGCATGAGAGATTGCGTACCCGACCAGCGAAAGCGATTACCCCGCGAAGTGAGTGGTCCCTAGGTCGACACTCCAAGCCGGCCGGTCCGAGGCTGAACCCGGTGGCCCATGCGGCTTGGATGCTAATCCGTATCAGGAAGCAGGTCAACAGTATTGGAAGCTCCAAATGATGTCAAGCCACCAACCTGTCTCAGCCGGTCCGGGAACTTTGCTTTCAGACCGCCGTGCCTGATCACTGACGTGCCTGGCGTTCGAACCGATGATAGTTTTAAACCCTTATGTTGTCAGTTGCTGAGCGGACAAGTTTCTAGCAACGTGCCTCGCGACTTTTTGAGTACCTTACATATTTTTTCCCACCAATAAATATCCTGAACGCCAGCCAAAAGCTCTCTTGAACATGGACAAATCGACTCAAAATGTGGAGCTTGCTGAGTCCTCTGACCAAGGTGGGAACGCCTCGGGTTGTTCAAGCCTCGAAGAGGCAGTCGACACTAAGAAACTTATGAGAAAGATCGACTGGACCCTATTACCCTTTCTCACTCTCTTGTACCTGCTCTCTTTCCTCGATCGAACCAATATTGGCAATGCTCGACTCGACACACTTGAAGCCGACCTCAATATGACAGGAATCATGTACAACAATGCCTTGGCAATCTTTTTCCCCTTCTACGTGATTGCCGAAATTCCTTCGAATATCGCAATGAAGAGATTCGCGCCCTGGCTCTGGATCCCATTCATCATGCTCTGTTGGGGCATAGTCTGTACCCTAATGGGAATTGTACAGAGCTATGAAGGACTTCTGGCTGCGCGAGCTGTGCTTGGTCTTGCTGAGGGTGGTCTTTTTCCAGGCATTGCTTACTTGTAAGTGTTGCCGGTTGCATCTCTCGCATAAACCGAACTGAAAATCTCTTGGAACATAGCATCACCATGTGGTACCGTCGTCACGAGTGCGGTCTCCGACTAGCAATCTTTTTCTCAGCTGCCACGCTCGCTGGTGCCTTCGGGGGGCTCTTGGCTCGTGGAATTCTAGAAATGGGTGGTGTTGCTGGTCTTGCCGGTTGGCGTTGGCTATTCATCCTCGAGGGCATTGTGACAGTTCTTGTCGGTCAGTACACCCCTTCAGTTACCCGAGTAGTGCTTTCTGACGGGATACTAGCGTGCGTCGCTGTTAAGGTTATGCAGGACTACCCCGAAAAAGCCAAGTTCCTTACCGAAAGTGAGCGGAAGGTGGTACTAGAACGTCTTCAACAAGATCGATCCTCACTTGCGAACGAGTTCGACATGAAATACGTTCGTCACGCATTGTCTGATTGGAAGATTTGGGTCCATGTCGTCACAACCATCTGCGTCTATACTGGAGTCTACTCGTACTCGCTATTCTTGCCGACCATCATTCGCGATCTTGGTTACACAAGTCGCACAGCTCAACTGATGACTGTCCCGCCATTCGTGGTAGCCTGTATCATCTGCGTCTCGGCAGGGTGGTATGCAGACAGGCTCGGTCAACGCGGAGTCTTTATGATAGTCTTTATGTTTGTTGCGTAAGTACTTTTCTGTTCCTCTTCTTTCACGGCTTGGTGCTTGTCAATGTGTCGCTGATATATGTACAGAATCATTGGTCTCATAATGCTTACCGTTGTGAGAAACGTGGCTGTGAGATACGTCGGCTGCTTCTTTGCTGCTGCTGGCATCTATCCCAGCGTCCCCCAGGGCGTAGCTTGGAATGGCAACAACATCGGTGGTGGGCTCAAGAGGGGGATTGGTATTGCTATGCATGTTGGATTCGGTAACATCAGCGGCATCATCTCGTCGTATCTGTTTCTGCCAAAGTATAGCCCGAGGCACTTACCGGGGCTCAGCAGTCTTCTTGGTCTCTATGTTGTCGCTCTTGTCCTTTGCGTCTGTATGACAGCCTATCTCCGGCGAGAGAATGCGCGACGCGACCGCATCTATGGATCTCCCGAGGAGTATACAGAAGAGCAACGAGAACTCGAGCGCGAGAAGGGGGACAACGCTACTTTCTTCCGCTTCACCATCTGACGGGCATGGTCGTTGATGGAATCGGACGGTATCATACCTATTAATTTTGAAGAAAGACTGCGAATTGCTACGAATCACAGGCATACTTATAGCATAATCACAAACTCGTCCAGTTAATTCCTGTAAAATGACATTTTCAGGAGCGAAACAACATTCGAGCTCATCTTACATGAAGCGGTCATAATCGCTGCCTACTGTCGCATGGTCCGAGCGACACGAGAAAGCTCGTGGGCCGGACCGGCCGGACCGGCCTCCAGCTGCCAAGCGGGAAGGTCCTTTGCCGGAATCTGCACCAATCAACGAAGAGTCTTCTATGTTACAAGCTGCCTCTAGGTAGGAACTAAGCTTCTTAGAACGTACAAACTATGTGATGCCAAATTTCCCGAAGCCTGGCTGGTGGTGCCGGGAGGGGGTTAATGTCAATCGTCAAGAACAGACAGACCCTGTTTCCCAGCTCGTCAAATCGCCATCTATATCAACTGTAACATATGTACGTCCACTGGGCGGGTTCGTCAGGGTACTTTCTCCAGCTGTCCAAATGGACAGAGGTGTCAAATCTGGCGAATCCATCAAACCCTCCTGAGCTCCGTTCTCGGTGTCGTCCACCAATTCAGGAATGGACAGATCGATGACTGTATTTTCTGAGGGAAGAGGAGTAGCCCAGTCAAGACCAAGAAAGGTGTCCAATTCTGTCCAACTCAAGATGTCGGTTGGATTCATGCTCATGGCGTATGAGTATCCTCGGAAGCCTTCGTCGATTCGAGGTTCCTCCGATGTCTGTGATAATTTAAGAATCTTGGACAACTGATCTCTCTCAGGACAGTTGCCTGTGCTCAAACTAAGGTCTGCTGTAATGACAAGTCGTAAGAATGGTTCTGCGGATGGTAGAGGTATTGCAACTCCATCGTCCGAGTCACTGCTAAACTTATCAAGGGCCCATGGTTGAGCCAGCTCACTAGCTCGGCGTGCGATAGCGCCAAACCAGGTAATACCACCGTACTGAGCACCTATAGTTCTCATGGCTTCAGTCAGAAGACTTAGTTGGCTGTTCTGGCGCAGCTGGTCCCTCCCGAGCGCTTCAGAACATGCGCAGTCGGGATGTCTGCCTGTTTGTGAATTCACAGTGTAGATCATCAGCGGTAATACGCTGAAGGCAATTCTAGGTCTGCTTTTAGCCTGGTATCAAAAGTCGAAAGCTGGAAAGAAGACCAAGAATAGGAGGGCTCTTACGTGCTCATGGGTAACCAGCGAACCAGTCGCATCTCTGTCAAGCCCTGCATGCAATCGGTAAAGCAGGAGACGGCATACTGTAGCTTGCGGAATCCTTCTGCAGTCGGTGGCTTCTTGGGTGGTGATGTCGCCATCATCGCTCGAACAATAGAATTTTGACATAGGAGCGCGAGAGCCGAGCTGCGATGACTTGTGAGTGCTTTTGAGATACAATCAACCAAAACTCTAGCTTACTGATAGTATAAATAAACGGTGTGGCTGAAGAGTCGAACGCAATTCGCCTGGAACCCCTCCAATCTGGGATTCTGCGCCGATGCCAGATACGGGAGGGAATCGCTCACTTGTGTCCTTCGTACCAAGATTGTAGGGTCTTTCTCAAGTCGCAGCGTTCTTTGCGCGTCCCTCTCGGGGTCGTGACTTGGGCCGCAGCGATTTGTCGGATTCTTGAGAAGCCATCAGGCTGAGCAGGTCGGTCACGATGATACAAAGGCTTGCCAATCTGCAAGTCACTTCGATGAGCTCATTTTTGGTGTCGCTATCGTATACCTTTGATTTGTGAACTTCGTCCAAAAGATCTTTGGTCTCTAAGCCAGGAAAGATCTGGAGATCGAGTGTCTCTTTTGTGATGAGGGCCTGCCTCCGCAGAGCCAGCGCGATTACGCGGTCACGCATGATGCAAGACCACCATAGTCTTTTAAGGATGTTTCCATGGCTTGTGCGTTCTAAAATGGATGGTTGTTCATCCTCGCTCTCGGAGGCGTCAGGATCAGCTGCTGCAAGGCGTGCATGATTGATAGCACGCCTGAGCCATGAGGTATTGGACTGACGACTTCGGGGATCCTCTGGCGTATAGGAGAAGGATAGGAGGAGCGAGGACTGGCCAAGGACTTCCGAGGACGGCTCACCCCCTAGGTCATACAAAAGCTTCTCAATGTTATTTTCGTGCGTATTTGGCGGGGAGTTCGAATCTTACCTTAGCCTTCCGGTATAATTCAGCTCGTGCTGATTGCATAGAGTCATAGCCGAGCACCCGGAGTGTACTCAGTGACACAAACTTCCAGTCATCAGCCTTACTCAGTAAAAAAGGTATCTGACGACATACGTTACAAGACGCAAATAGCATAGCCTGAAGAAGCAGCAGCGATATTCCATCTTTGAAGGCCCCCGTGGGAATGCTATTGCAATATTTGCCCCAAAAGTCGCCTTCGTTAAGTATCGGGAGAAATGGGTGCACGTGGCGGAAGTACTGCTCAACGAACTCGTCGAGTATGCTGCGAGTCGCAACTCTTAGACATCCCTGTGCTTCGAGCACATTGACATCACGTACAGGGAGCTTCGGAAGATGCTCAAAGTTTAAGAAACAATGATGGGTGTAAAGAACATCTGAGCATCGCCTGACTGAAGGCAAGAACATGGCACCTAGTTCATGATCCAATCGCGGAGCACAGCCATCTGTCACTAGACTGTGTGCTCCGGCCGTTGCCTCGCGGGAAGAAGAAGCACCAGCATTGACAACCCCTTCAGTGATGTTGTCCTGTAGACAACGATTTCTGATGGAGTCCTGCTTGTTGAATGCTTGCCCGACGGGCCTTTCTCCTCGAACTGAAGCTGTTCGGTTTGCGGACGACAACTGTGCATGGCGTGGCGAACCATGACATGCCTCGAATGGGGATGGTGCCTTAGCCTGTGATGTAGTATCGGCCCTTGAAAGACCTTGGCTGCAGATTGCTCTTGTTAACATGAAATCGGGTGACCATCATCCTTCAGATTTGCTTACTTTCTCCTGTTTGCTCTAGGACGAACTTGACAGTCGAGGTCATCAAGAAAGCAGATAGCGCAAGGTGCACCGCGTTGAGATACATCGCATCGGACCTTCCGTTTCCCGGCAGTGCACGCATGCCACGCCCGCTCGCCTTGCGAACGATTCTTCCCAGCCGCATTGACTTGTGGTGTTCTCATAGTGTAATTAAGATGAAATCGTTCTGTTTTCTGGGACTCTTTTCGGCTGAGTGAGTAAAATTATGAATCTGGCCCGGGGAGATTGTAGAGGACAGAAATGTTGAAGTGCACTGACGGTAGAAGTGTGAGTCTAATGAATAGAAGAAAATGGATGCTTGGATCTTTGCATCACTTTGATCATGGCATCTGTCTTATCGCCACAGATATCGGTCCGGCCAACTGCCGGCCGGCCGGACCGGCAGCGGGAGCCTGAGGAGAAGTGGGGTCACTACTTGGCACCAGCCGGCTGCTCGAGGTGGGTGCCCTTGCGCCAGACGAAGACCAAGAAGTCATACAAGCAAGGTGGGGGTGGTGGCACTGTGACGTATAGAGGTAGATGATCCCCCAAATATCAAGCCCTCATACTTCCGATCTTAGTTTCTTCACTTATATACAATCATGAGCCCTGTCGAGGAAGAATATGATCCAAGCCTTGGCCTACTAGCCAAATTAAAACTTCAAGCCGGGCACAGATCACTGACTGTCCCCAGTTTTACACCATCAAGTCGTATTAATCAATCCCTAAACAATCAAACGGCTGTTGATTATCGACGGTCGTCACGGACCGCTATTTGGACTCACTACATTCTGAGATGTCAACTCCAAATGCTGGCTAGGGTATTGAGCTCGGGCCTTGAAGATCCTCGTTTGCACAAACGGTTCACCCAAGCCAGTGGCCGATGGCTGTGAAGCACAGATGTGTCGGCGATGTACATGTGGGACATCACATACAGGATTCTCCACCACATCGTATTACTGCTGATCCGGCATATCGGATGCCTTGTTCGAATTCGACCCATGCTAGATGGAGATTCCGGGGACGCCCTGGGCTTACCCCAGGCAACAACATTCGTCACATTGCGATTGTTTCATGTAGGGTGGGGATAGAGGCGGGTCAGCACCTCGTAGGCCTTGCTCAATATGCTAGCCCAGCAGTTGCAGCTTGTACCTGGCTGATGGAGCTATTACATGTAACACAGGTCCCCTTTCACATGGTTGCGCGCATTGCCTTTCTGATGACTGGGAACGGAAGTCATTGTTCACCTTGTTGATTCTTGAGGGGGTTCCCTGAGCCATTCAACGCAAGTCTTTCAGCATCCGTTCCAATGCAGACACGCCTAAGCTACGTCCAGCGCCTGACTTTGATTACGCGATCAAGAGGAGTGAGTGCCCACATTGGCCTAGTCTCGCCATCCGAGCCTGCTCAGGACGGGGTCAGGCCGCCGGCGGCCGGAAGAGCTTCAGAGCAGGACCACTTTCGAAGCTTGTCTTCCTCAAGCTCAAAGGGGGTCAGCTGCAACAACGGTTTCAGTTGTCAGAACGTGGTCTGGGGTGTATCAAGGGCCAGTATAAATGAAGGAACTTCAATGGGTATGATAGTGCAGTCAATCAGCTACTCTTGGTCTCCGCGACATCAGTTTCCAAACTTCGCAAACTGTACCTCCGATGATGCGGATGAGGCACTGCCTCGAACTGGGTCACGCGTCTGTGCTGGACCTATGTCACCAGTCGCTCCGGACCTGCCATCCAGACTTTCCATATCTATGTCACTGTTTCTCCGCCGTCGGTGGCTATGAACTGTAATCTCCGTCGTCTTGATAACGTTGGAGTCTTGTCCAAAGCTGGGCTCCCCATTCTTGCCCCGTCCAACATGAACTTCGTATTCAGCCGCTGCATCTCCCTCATCGCCCAACTGCTTATTTCTCTCGCCATTGAACGTTTCAAGGGCGACACCACCGTTTGTCGCATTCCGACTGCGGGTATAGGAGCTTCCGTTTCTCGAATTCCGTGTAAGCTGGACGAGGCGATTGAGGATACTAAATTCGAGCTTGAGCTTGGCGCTGTAGACAAGCGGCTTCCAGGCTGTTTGGATATCGAAAAGGTTCGCAAACTCGAGGGCGAGAATAGAGACGTCGAGAAAAACCACAAGAAGGTTGACGTAAATTAGATGGTTCATGACCTTTCGCGTTCCCATGTTACCGATGCTCTTCTCTAGCCTGAGACGTTTCGTAGTTTCCCAAATGTACAGTGCCGAGATGATGATTTCTTGTAGAAAGAAGACACTGAGCTGGATCTTCTCGTACACTGAGTACGGATGAACGAAGGGTCCAGGGTTGGCCGAGTTGGAGCCATAGACGAGCACAATGATGGGTAAATGCAGCCAGACAGCATTTGTGATGATCATGATCAGCACAAGACGCAGTCGAGTCTGGTTAAGCATGACAATGTGCAGACGCGAGTACAGCACAACCGACTGACCGGTGATCATGGTGCACCAACCGATAAGGATCAGTGTCGCGTACACATTGGGCTGCACGTTCTTGCCAAAGTGCCTGAGGAGGTAGCCGACTGCGTTGAATGCGATGCCCCATGTTGCTACGACGAAGCTCCAAAAGTAGAGACCACTGCGTTTATTGAACGTAGCGAGGATGATGAAGTTGAGCTCCAGAACATTGTACAGCGCGATGCTGATGAATACCGCGATAATAAAAGCGACGGTGCCGCTCTGAGTGTCGATGTTTACCATGCTGGCTGATGTCTCTGGAGTATCAGTAGCTTGGCTAGCAACAGCACCTGTCAAAGGGAGGAAGTCGTCGAACAACAAAGAAAGGAAGGAATGAGCGGCAGAAGACGCAGAATCTCCGAGTCCTCCAAATCAACGGGTGTTCCATCAATTTGACTTGTTGAAAAGGGGTCTCTGACCTTCGCACTAAAGAATTCGTAGCTGAAATAACTTCCACCTCCATCCCAACGCGCCCACCCACACAATTTTACTGACACACTACGTTGAGAAGACCTTCCTCACAAGGGAACATCGTTCTGCGTTCCATCTGGTTGTGCATCAATGCGCCACTCAAAAGATGCGGCACCCCCCGGTTCCCCGCTCGTGCGCCCATATGGTGCCCGGCTTTTAAGTTTCCTCCGTCAATGGCCCGGACTCGCCCTAACGAACGAGTCAGTGCCATACGGGACAACGTTACCTGACATTTCAACCAACAGAGGTTACCCGAGAACAAATTGGATCGAGTCATTGCACCAATTTCGATCAACCAAAAATGGTTTCCAGTGGTTTCCTGTGCAGCATGCGTGCGGCATTTTGACCCACAATCCTACCGTCCTACGTGTAAAAACGTGCGAGTACCTTGACAAAAGGGAAACAAAAGCTTCTATTTCGCTGCAGATGTCACCATACTCGTGATTACTAAATCCGCTTCCAGTCACGGCATCTAATACCCTCGCCGCCAGAATTGTCCGGTGTTCAAGACGGCTAGCATCGTATCCCACAGCCAGCCGCCGGTAGCTGAGCCCACCTGTCCCGGTAAATAATGTCTTTGAGTTTGAGCTAAGCAGCCGGCCCCCCTTTTAACCTTACCCGCCCCCCAGGTTTCCTAGGCTGTATGGAGCGATCTGATGTCGACTTGACCCTGCCACCCTGCTAGTGCGTTCTGAAATATCAACTAATTCTGCGACCTCCTCCTCATCTTCAGGACCAAATCGCCAACATGTCAGGCGATTCGCTTCCACTCAACACTGACGCAACCCTGATGTCTCAGGAGACACACATAAACGGAAGCTACATCACCACCAGCAGACTTGCTTCGGGTTAATAAGGATGTGCCTAGCTTCTCACGGACCCTAGGACCTGGCAACCTGAGCTTGGCAGATGAGCAAACCACAGCTCGCATCATCCATGCCGTCCTGGAGGCGCAGCCTAAGCTCGACAATTGTATTCGGCAGGGATCGCCCAATTCCCGCTCGTCGTCCATGGAGAACCTGTCAGGCTTTGTTCTGTGCCGACTCTCTTGCCTACCCCATCGAACGACCGTCGCTGACGTGAAAAAGTGCAACGAGCCAGCCGTTGGACAACCCGCAAGCCAGGAAGTGCGCCTCGAAGCCTTCCCACGATGATTATGATCAGTGATCAAGTGTGCTGACTTGGCTTCTCCCTCAACTCGACTGTGCCTCGCCTTTGAATAGCCGCTCCAACCACTTTGGTCGCTTACAACTTCCAATCCACGTTGTTTGTCTGACCCCGCATAGCTGAGCGTCTCCCTCTTGCGGTCGGAATTTGCCGTCAAATGGTATTTGTTCTTGCCAACTATATCTCCCAGATTTCTAGCACCGGGGGAGGGAAGTGGACTGTATCTCGCTTAGGAGCATGGTGATGTAGGTAACTCGACCCGAGGAACTGCTCATGCGGCCTCCCTTACGATAAAAGTAGACTGACTGTTCCGGGTTCTCACGGAAACGCGACAGTTGACTTTGACTTATTGAAGCAGCTTCGGCCTTCGGGGTGCAACATTGCTGGGCTTGGCAGTGGTTTACGCAGCTAATTTCGACCTGATGTTGAAAACGACATAACTTCCTCACATCAGACGAACATGGTTGTAGGAGACTATTGCCTCCCCCATCGCAATCCAGAATAGCCCATTCCATGTTCTTTCGGCTACTGCACCACGTTGACCTTGGGGCTGCATGCGTGAGCCCTGGATTGATGGCGCAATGCGAAGGCGCTTGTCTTGCTACCACGCGACATGCACACATTATCTTCACGTGGGAGTCGAGATCACATTCATCGAGCAACCATGGGTGGGCCACGTACTTTTGAGCACCCACAATGCAGCTTAATCGCTGTTGTGTAGCAGCACTGCATTCCTTTCAGGCGGCCTAGCTGCTCCATCAACCTCAGCGGCAGCCCCATCGCATTGAGTTGAAGCCCAGTATTTGCGACAGTAGTCACAAATTTGCTGCTCGTATAATGCCCCTCCCCACAGCCATCAGTCGATCCTCTTCATCCCGAACCCCTGAGCCGGCCAAATTTGCTGGGATGCGTGGCGTGCTCGATTAGCCAGGCAACAGACCCACGGATGTTTGCCTGTTCAACCCCGACTCCCCCGCGCTGCGCCCTTGCCAACGCTGCTGAGCGAGCTTTCCGACCAGTTCCAGGTACCTGCGCCCAATAGCGGGTCAGCCTAGCACGCAATAGCCCTGTCGGCCCTGAACCCAATTGCCCCCCCATGAGTCGTAGCCTGGTCGTTTCCTGCCGCGTTCTCAATGTGATGTCTTGGTGCAGGCGAAGCTACACTGATGTCACTCTACCAGGCCGAAGTGAGCTAGAAGAATGCTGGGCACACCTTGTGGCCAACATATTTAAATGTAACCCATCTACCTGCAGGTCTTACATGGCAAGCCAATTGTCACGGACGATCATCTTGCCCACGATGCCTTCTGTTGTCTCTGTGCTCGCCGCTGGCCTCTTCGCCCATACGGGCGGTACTGGCTGCCAAGCTCCCGTCCACGGCTCAAATCATTGACCAGAAGACATTCAATGTCCTGCCCTCGGTCCCCCCTCCGTCGCAAGCCAACGACTCGACGGTAGGTTCTTTCCATTTCCCTAGAGGCCCGAGTGCACCGCTTACCTTTCGCCGCAGGTGTTCCTCTGGCCTGGCGTGACCCAGGAGTCGCTTACTGCCAAACCGTTTCACGTGTATGACGAGGAATTTTACGATGTTATCGGCGACGCCCCATCCCTGACCCTCATCGCCACGTCTCAGTCGGACCCCATCTTCCACGAAGCTGTCGTATGGTATCCTCCAACGGACGAGGTCTTTTTCGTTCAAAATGCTGGGGCCCCCGCCGCTGGCACCGGCCTGAATAAGTCATCCATCATTCAGAAGATCTCGCTGGCCGATGCTGAGGCTGTACGCCTGTCTGCCAACACGACCGACGAGGTCAAAGTTACGGTTGTCCCATCCAACCCTCAGGTCATCAACCCGAATGGAGGAACCAACTATAAGGGTCAAATCATCTTTGCCGGCGAAGGGCAAGGCGCCAACGTTGCGTCTGCGCTGTATCTGATGAATCCGGTGGCTCCGTATAACACCACTGGTGAGTTATATAGCATGTCTTCTTTGTCATACGTCATGTCTAACAAGGCACAGTCTTGGTGAACAACTACTTCGGACGTCAGTTCAACTCGCTCAACGATGTTGCCATCAACCCCCGCAATGGTGAGCTGTACTTTACCGACACCCTCTACGGCTACCTTCAGGACTTCCGTCCTGTTCCCGGTCTGAGGAATCAGGTCTATCGCTACAACTTCGATACCGGTGCAGTTGCTGTCGTCGCTGATGACTTCACCTTGCCAAACGGCATTACCTTCGGCCCGGGTGGTAAGCGTGCCTATGTTACCGACACTGGCATCGCTCTTGGCTTCTACGGCCGTAACCTTTCATCTCCTGCCTCCGTGTGAGTCGCCTACCCCTAAAAGACCTGCCCACATATCTGACGAGATTAGCTACTCGTTTGACGTAAACAGTGATGGCACCTGGCAAAACCGCAAGACGTTTGCTTACACCGCCTCTTTTATTCCGGATGGTATGTATCTTGTCAGTTGACCAAGGGCACAAGCTAATGTAATCAAAGGTGTTCACACCGACTCCAACGGAAACGTCTACGCTGGGTGTGGCGATGGTGTACACGTTTTCAACCCCTCTGGCAAGCTCATTGGCAAGATTTACACAGGTACCACTGCCGCAAACTTTCAGTTCGCTGGCAAGGGTCGTATGATCATTACTGGACAGACCAAGCTCTTCTACGTGAAGCTAGCTGCCTCCGGGACCAAGCTGACATGAGCCTTGGACTGAGGAAGCAAGCCTATTGTGGTGGGAAAACCTCGCGAGCACCTCACCAGGGCTGACGGGGTGGGATGCCGGATTAACAGGCACAGAGTAGACATCTGATTGATAACGCTGTTTCGGCGTAATCCAAAGCTCGTACTATTCGCACTTGAGGTGATGATTTCGAGCCACAAGTGGATGACCTTGGGTTGATTGACAAATTTTGTACGACCATCATTGCTAGGGTCAACGTTTATTACCATTTCTTGAATGGAATCTTGGGAGATAGAGTACATCTGCCCCAAAGACGCTCAATCGAGACAGCCTGAACTTTAGAGTCAACCTTCTCAGAACAGAAATTTATCAAGCTTTCTGAGTGCCACTGGCGGTTACAGCAACCACTAATGACGAGACAATGTCGGTGAGATAGTGCCCAGGATGTAGACTGCAGTTGAAGGGTAAAATTTGTGTTGATTTGGTCGCATAGTTACTATCCAAAGAGCATACAAAAGTCCAATCCCATAGCTCACGTCGCGGGCTGCAACGACGTTTTGACCCATTGTGGCCAACTCTGCATACCGTAGATATAGCAAAGGGCGCGAGGGCTGACGTGTGGAAGGTCGATGGCTCTCCGAGCCTAAGAAACATCATCACAACAAGCAGCAAAGAATGGTACTGTCCTGCTCGGAGAATGAGCCCGCGTGTAATACGATCAGCATCGTGCCCCCCCTGATTACATCAAGGACACTTCAATGGGACCAGCGAAGGCCGAGTGACGCACGTAGACGGCATGATGCTCAACTCTGGCAACTCCTGCTATCTCTCGCTCAGCAAAGCCAACTCATTGCGTCGGAAAAGACAACCGAGCTTCCGATCGCCAGCTCTATCGTTGTCGTCTCATCGATTGATTCATCTTTGCCCTAGCAATGTAAAAGTTTGATAATCTTTACCCCATCCAACAAGATTGATTTCCGGTACAGACAATCATCAATTGTAGACAGTTCTTTCTCGCAAGCCAATAAGAATTTCGAAAAGGACCCCAATGCGCTGGGAGCAACCTAAAGGTTCACCAAGAACGCATTGCATTTCAATGTGTGGCAAATTTGACTTGGACTCATGGCCACTTCCAGAACATATTTGCGCCCTCTACTTCAGCCAAAGGATTTCCTTCGCCCTGCCGGGCTGAGCCGTACTGTTCATCGAAGCCACACTTGGTGTAGAACCCGTCCTTCCCCTTGGCGCTCACAACTGACGCGCAGATGCCTTCTTCCCGAGCTCGTTGAAGACCCCATTGCACCAGCTTGTAGCCGACGCCTTGGCCTTGGAAGTCGGGCCTTACCGCCAGTGCTTCAAGATACCACGACTCGGCGCGCTTGCCCGTCCAGATATCATCAAAAAAAGGGTACGCCCGCTCGATGATGTCTTCTTCCTTGACATCGACGGCACGGCTCGGCCATAACCAAGCATGAGCCTTCATCGCGAAAGACGACAAGGGTCTGAGGGCATTGCCTGGGATGGAACATCAGCATTGTAGATTTCCGGAGAACATATATACATACGGGGATCCAAGTACCAGCAATCCATCTTCTGGCCGCCGTCTCCTAGTCTGGCCCACTGTGCGATGCCAGCGATAACCTCTTTTCCGTTGACGTCTTTGGTCGTTGCAACCAGCCACTTCCAGCGAAAGTCCCAGAAGTTCACGCGTGCTCGCCTCAGCCAGTAAAGATCTACATCATGTGGGTGTTTGTCGCGATGGGGGTGGATGAGCTCGCCAAACAGATTGTCTTCCCAAAATGCTGTAGCCATGACATGAGCGATCTCGACCAGCTCAGTGTAGCGCGCATCGCGCAAAACAATCTCGCGCATGGTGTTGCAGGGCTAGGCTTTGTGTGTGATACGTGGAGGAAGAGAAGCCCGCCAGAAAGCTGCTTTACACAATGTCGTAGCAGCTTGCTTTGAGCTTTGGGAGGCTTAGGGGAAGATGAGACAGCTCGGACTACCAGACTATCAGGTAACACTGCCGAGGCGAGCGCCAAGCGCATCTGGCGACGATCCGCTCCGTCCCGTGAAGAAGGATGTTCGATGGCCAGAACCACCAGCAATCAGCTCATCGTCAGGGGCCCCAGGGGCTTCATGATTCGATCCGGCATTCCGGTTGGTACGGGGGGACAATCCCTGCGAGCCGCCCAAAAAGTCGGCTGCAACCACGGACATAAACCCTGAATTGGTAATTAGCATATCCACAGTATGTGCGCACGACGGACGATGTTAAACTTTGATCTCTGGGGCAGATCACCTAGGCGCTTCATCACGAGCCAGAATAGAAAACAAAGATCGGCTGAGATTCCTATCAATTTCGGTTATGATGCACATGCCACCCCCACTGCAGGCTGCTTGTTGATGCTTGCTATGCACGTTGGGTATCATATTCGACCCTCCAGACCACTTCCTTGTTGATGATCAACTCTTGACTGCCATTCCTCGAGCTTCGTTCCTCCTCGTCGGGCCTACCATCAGTGTGGTTAATGACCGTAGTTCGTTGAGCCAGTTGATCGGGCCTCCAAGCCTGAGGTCGGGCGCGGTGCTCTGTGTCCACGTCGTCTCTCATCAACCCTGACGACGTGGCGGTGATGCCCCCGACGGCTGATGACGTGGCTTGAGATTTGCTCTTCAATGGCCGCATGGCGTATAAGTTGCTAGATCCGTAGCCGCTAATGTCAAAAGCCACCGGAAGGCCCATCCCAATGGAGAAAGATTTCATGAAGTTCTTCAGGTTAGGAACCGTCGCCGAGATTAGTGACCATAGGATCATCGTCTGTTGGAATAACAGACTACTGTTAACTGCGAACTGGGGCTCATCCGACTCCAAATATTTGTCAAAATATGACAGATGAAAGGCCGAAAGTGCAATAAGTGGGAGGCGGAATGTGAAGGCCAGCACCACCTGACACTTCCGTTCGAACGACATATTAACGGCCCAGCAGAGCTTCACCACAAGAAGCCAGCCGAGGATTTCGGTAAGCATATCAAGGGCTGTGATGGCCAGCCATCGAGCTTTCTAGATATTAATTAGCACATGTATTCAAAATCGCAAGTTATTTCCCTACCTGGTTGGGGCAGAATAAGGCATTCTCAAGCGTCAACAGTGTGTCAGGGCGGCATTTGACCAGCAGGGTAACACATGCCCCAGCTCCCCACAAAGCGCTGATGGCCATGAGGCCAAGACAGATGGATCTGCTCTTCCCCGTCTTTGACCCGATGATACGAAGCACGAGAGCTAGGACAGAACATTTGGCCAAGCTCAGGGCGAGCACACATAGGACCTCGGAAACTAGGAAAGCCTGTTTCGGCAGCTATTAGTATTTCTAATAATATGTTATAGGCGATCATACCTTGGAAGAAAGAGTCCATTGGGTCCCGGAAGTGTTGGAGTTGAATTTACTCAGTCCATTGTTAAGGCCTGCGAAGACAGCAATTGATTGACCCAAGTGCAATGCTGTAGCTGACGCTATGAAGAAGTCATCGAGCCCATACATGCGAAATTTGATGAAAGCCCTGGTAGCCGCCACAAGCGCGCTGTATATCAAGGCCAAGATGGAAACAATCCAGAGTTGGCCCGCATGGTCGTCAAATGCAACTGGAGAAAAACGAGGCCCATCCATGGCCGACAACCGCGAATACTATACTTAAAGAAATTGTAAATTTTTGGACCTCTGGCGTACGTCAACGTAACAGAGGGTCCGCCGAGTTGGGCTATGCGTCTCTTCAAGTACTGAGAAGCCCGATCCTGTCGCTCGGGATGAGGCCCAAAGAAAGAGCTCCTGAATGAGACGCCACTTCCATTCTACTGGCGGACCAATCTCGTGGCTTTTCAACGAGACACGCGCTGATTAGACTTTGGTCTCTCGACAGGGTAGCTCGCTGTTCCGCGAGGCCGGGAGGTGGCGACTTGCCATGTACCATGTATACATGGTATCCAGTCACTACCCTTGGCCGCCGAGCTCCGGTTCTCCAATATCCAACTTTGTAACACTGAAATGACAGTAGAATCATCTTGCGTAACAAAAGTGTCAGCACCCGATCCAGAAGTCGACCTGGAAGCCAGGGTGCCCAGCCCCTGCAGGCAGCAGACGTTCCAGGACCCCTGTTACGGTTCGGCTGCTTCACAAAACGGGCAAAGATGGATTTCTCAGGACTCCACTACCGGCGCTATGCATCCACAAGGCGCCATGCTGGACGCCAACCACACAGCACCAAAGGTTCTATCGCTGGCCAGAGTCCAACACGCCATGCAGCAGCCCAGTTCTGGCCAGAACTGTGATCATCACAACAAGCCGGCATGTTTTTTTTGAGCCAGGATCCTGGTACACTGAGCGTGGGGGACCTGTACATCAGCTTTCAGCCCAGTGCGACCGTCTGCTGCTCCATGACCTCTGGCCATTTCCCCCTTCCCTGCCGTCGTGGTTTCCCCGGGTTCTCCTACTGCTCTGTATATTCGTTTCATTCTTTCGTTGAACAAGTTTGGTTTTTCCTTCTCTATCCAAGAAACTATGTCTGCTGATAAGGAAGATCGTCTGGTGTACGGCTCAGCCGCCGACCTGGACGGCGATGGCATCGACGAGAAGCGTGGCAATGCTCATGATCGGGCGGATATGTATCGCATGGGCAAGAAGCAGGAGATGAACGTAAGCAACAGAAAAGGTAGAACTTCGAGCCTAACAGCTACTAATGAGGGTACCGTAGAGAAATTTTCGCTTCCTATCGATCTTTGGCTTCTCCATGATTCTAATGGCATCGTGGGAGTTCTCTTTGAGGTAAGGTTATTGCTGTCTTGAGGCCTAAAGTAGCTAACATGTCATACAGTGTCTCGACTATCGGCCTCATCAACGGAGGTACGGCTGGCCTCATCTGGATGTACTTTATTTGCTGGGCCGGCTTCATGTTGGTCAATATATCCATGGCTGAAATGGCTTCCATGTTTGTTGCCGCCCAACTCAAATTTTGAAGGTTTTTGTTAACACAATTCTAAGGGCTCCGACAACTGGCGGACAGTACCACTGGGTTTCCGAATTCGCGCCGCCTCAATACCAAAAGTTCATCAGTTACTTGATGGGGTGGATGTGCGTCCTTGGCTGGCAGACGTCTTGCGCGTCCTCGGCATACATTTCTGGCACCCAGATCCAGGGGCTAATGGTCCTGAACTACCCCGATTACGTTCCTCAGCCATGGCATGGTACGCTGCTCACTATTGCTATCGCCGCGTTTTCGGTCCTCTTCAACACGATCTTGGCAAGAAAGCTACCCCTCATTGAAGCTCTTGTGCTCATCATCCATATCTTCGGCTTCTTCGGAATTCTCGTAACGCTTTGGGTCCTGTCTCCTCGGGCCGAGCCAAAGGCCGTCTTCACTGAATTCTTCGACGGCGGGGGCTGGGGAAGCCTAGGTGGGTCTGCTCTCGTCGGCATCACCGCTGGTATCTTGCCTCTGCTTGGTGCCGATGCCGCCGTTCACATGTCGGAGGAGGTGCGTGACGCCGGGCGGACGCTGCCCCGATCCATGATCATGACTACCGTGATCAACGGTGGACTAGGATGGATCATGATCATCACCTACTGCTTCTGCATTGGCGACCTTTTCGAGGTCCTTGAGACCCCGACCGGTTACCCCTTCATGCAGGTTTTCCTCAACTCGACACAGTCGGCAAGCAGCGCCACAGCTATGGCCGTCTTTGTCGTCGCTATGGCCATATTCTCCAATCTCACCATGGTGGCCACTGCCTCACGCCAGCTGTTTGCTTTTGCGCGTGATAACGCCGTACCCCTGAGCCCTTGGTTTGCTAGTGTTCCCGCTGGCTGGGATGTTCCCCTGAACGCCATTTTTACGACTTTCCTCATTTCCAGTCTCCTCTCGCTCATCAACATTGGGTCTGCCGTCGCCCTGAATTCGATTACATCCTTGGCCACAACTTCTCTTCTATCTAGCTATATCTGCTCCATCGGCTGCATGATTTGGAGACGCTGGACCAACAGTCCTCTACTTCCCTCAAAGTTCAGCCTCGGTCGATGGGGTTTAGCTATCAACATTGCCTCTGTTGTGTTTCTCGTTACCATCTTCGTCCTTGCTTTCATGCCGCCAACACCAAACCCCACTCTCGACATGATGAATTGGAATATTCTCATCTACAGTGTCATCGCATTGTTCTCTCTGGCCTACTATCTGGTGCGCGGCAAGCATCAGTACGAAGGTCCTGTAGCTTATGTTAGGACTCTAGCACAGTAGGAACAAGGCGTAAAACCTGGCCTAAGCATTGTTCACGCCTTTGCATACGTACGTAACGAGAGGATAAAAGCTTAGGGACTAAATGAAACCAAATTTAGAAATCAATTCCCGTTCCAAAGAAAGCCTTTGCTGTAGAGAGCCCTTTGAATTATAGCCCCCAAACTTCGACAGTTCCAACCAACACACTGAGCTGGAAAGCCAGGAGGATTATTGAGTCTACCAAGACTGCCGTCCCGATGTCGTGGGCCTCGCAAACGCCGACACCGCTGCTTGACGCAAGTGTTATCATGACTGCAAAGACAATGGTCTCATGCGATTACCATCACCAGCCCGGCCCCTTTTCTCTACAGATCAGCTGTCAACAGAGATTGGGAGGGATGCTTGACCACAAGCAAGTCTTCTAACTCTTTTGCTGTCTAGGCTAATCAGAGAAGTGTATTCGGATCGGAAGCAATTACAGTATTAAAACTTCGTCACCAGACATACATAGCCCACCCATCCAACCCACCAACTGTCAAGGCGTCAATGTTAGAGCAAGGTATCATGTATATCCGAAAGTAATTGCAAAATATGGCATACAGAATTGAGCGGGAAATGTATATGATTGAACAATGCATTAACTGTTCTAATCCACCGCACTTCGAATCAAGAGCACTGCCTGCGTTTCGCTAACGATAAACTCCCACCCCTGTAGAAATCTACTGACGCTTGTCCTCGCGAACCTCAACAACGTCAGCGTCATCCTCCTCCAGCTTGTGGTTGGTCTGGCCGATACCAGCAAGGTCGTAGACTAAGAAAAAGAATGTTAGCAGGGTTACAAGCAGCCATGGGATACATGTTGAACTTACTGTCGATGGGGGTAGTGGCGAACTTTCGGGCAGACACCTTCTTCTGAAAGAGGTAGTCGATATCGGCAAAGCTGCGGTTCCTCGTCTCGGGCAGGCAGAAGAAGATCCAGACAGCCCAAATGAAGCAGAGACCAAAGTAGAGGAGACCAGCCCTAGCTCCCCAGTTCCAAGCATCGCCTCCCTTGTTGAGCATGCGGGGGTTGAGTTGCTGGACACAAATGACACCCGTAACGTAGACGGCGCGGCCGAGGACAAGAGTCTGAGCGCGGACACGGCTGGAGCACATCTCTCCAACAATAACGTAACAGGCGGGACCCAGTGACAGCTTGAAGGTGAGCTGAACGAAGATCAGGATGACAGCAACAGCAATAGGAACGTTGTTAGTCTTGATGAAGCCCAAGATTCCCATAATCAGCATGCAAAGGCCGATGAACGAGGAACCGTAGAGATAGAAGGTACGACGTCCAATACGACCCATCAGAACAATGGCAATAATAGTGCCAACGATGTTGGTCGATTGAATTCCCATGCTGAAGTTGAAAGACTGGTGAGTGGGCATACCACCAGCCCGGAGGAAGACGGCAGCGTAAGCGGTAAGGGCCTGACCGTTGAGAATCTGGACAACCCAGGTCATGCAGGTAATAAGGGTACGGCGTAGGTTGGTGCCGTGGAAGCAGTCCTTGTAACTGGCGCCCTCGGCTTCGATCTTCTCCATCTCGTTCGTGTGCTTCATGAACGCGATGAGCTCGGCCATGGTTTGGTCGGTGTAGTGTCCCTTGCGAGCGAGACGGCGAAGCGACTTCTCAGCCTCATCGACACGGCCACGACGAATCAGGTACCAGGGGCTCTCAGGGGCAAAGAGGCCAACGAAGAACAGGGGCACAACCCAGATCCACTGCAGGCCATATGGCACACGCCATCCAGCATCTCCTGGCAGGTCGAGAGAGCCACGAAGCACACCTGCAGCAAGGAAAGATCCGGCACCCCAGCACATGGAAACCCAGGCAGTGAGGTATCCACGGATAGCGGCGGGGCAAATCTCGGCAGCGTAGGCAGTTGTCAGAGTCTGGAAGATACCCCAGGGAATGCCGCAGAGAATGTTACCCGCGAGGAGCATCTCAACGTTCGTAGCGAAGAACAGGCAGAAGATCGTGGCGCCCATGGCGACCATGGCTCCCATGTAAACCTTGCGCGAACCGAATCGAGACTGGAGCCAACCGTTGATGAGGAGGCCGACAATGGTGCCGGCATTGTTACCGTTGCCGATAGCCGCCTGCCAGGTCGAAGAGATGTGGTTCTCACCAGCCTCGTTGGGCCAGCCGAACCTCTTGAGGTAGGCAGGATGGGCGAAGAAGTTGTTGATAAGGCCGACATCCATACCTTCCATGACCAAAGCCAGACTCAGCAGACCACTGTAGATGACCGCGGGCCCGTAACGGGAGAAGAGCTCCTTGCGCGACAGGTTGGCTTCTTCGTCACTCGTCTTGTGTGCGGCCTCGATGAGAGCCAGGTCGGGGTTGTACACGCCATTCTCGGCGTGGGCGAGTCCGGGTTGCTCCTTCTCAGACATGTTGTCGGTTTGTGTATTGGTTGGCGACGCGAGTTGAGGTGAAGGGGTGAAGAACAGAGGCAGTCTGACGGGAGGGAAAGGCCTTCAAGATAAACATGTTCGCCATGTGGAGCAGATCACCAGGGCGTCCGCTCCCACATGGCCCCCATGGGGTCCACGAATCAGCCTCCCCTTCAGTCCATCTCCTTCTCCCCGCATTGTCCCCCCGCGGGGGTGTCCCACGAATCACTTTTGCCCCAGCTTCGGGCCCAATTCCTTCGAAAAACCGGATATGGTAGCCGCGTTGGGTTTGGTTGACACCACACTCGGCCGTCGCGTCAGAGCCTCCCGAGTCAAGACCCAACATGCTTGGCACTACTGGCCAGTAGGCGTTAGCCTTCATAAACTGCTGTTTGACTTCCAGTCGTGATTGGCATGGCCCCACTGCGGACCTGTGGCACAGCCCCGGCACGTTGCCTGTTTCAATCGATGGCCCATCACAGTTGCAGGCGAGCAATCCACCCGAGACAACCTTCATCTCATACGCCAAGACTCAATTGACCTTATTGCAGCACGGCGAGATTGCCAGGCCTGGATTGGCGGCATGGCATAATGCTTCGCGCCGGGTCATCAGTTGTCTGTCGGCACTCGTTCGTCCGATGGGCTGTCACGTTCGTAGTGTGGACCACCAATTGCACTTGCAGTCTAATCGTCGCAGCCGGCTACCTTGCTCATCCAGCATATCGCATCAACAGACATAGAAGGTTTACGAACTGCTGCATAATGGCTCTCGAATACTTGCAATCAAGCCCTCAATTATTGCCAAATCGCTCCTTTGGAAGATGGCAGGTCTTTGGTCACGGCCCTCGCCTGGGCCCGCACCAACACCCATCTGCTCGGCTCTGCCAAGCTCGGTCCGCGTCTTTAATCAGCGAACAGGCTGCATGTGGCGGCGATGGACGCGCTTTCGGGCCACCTCGCACGCGTCGAATCCTGCCGACGGCGATTTCACCCTTGGCGTATTGCCTTGGCGTGCGGGCACTTGATCGGTACAACATGTGCTGGCTCGGCACGGCCGGCAACGACCTGGTATGCAGCCTACTGAGCTGACACAGCCCGCTTATTATGGTCTTACAGGTAGTACCATTTAGGTACGGCGAGATCTCTTTCGTGACTTTTGCTTGCCTGTCAAGTGGGTCGTTGCCATTGGGTCGGGACAGCTGATGGACAACTTGGTTTCCATGTGTTGTCGTGACTCGTGACATGCCAAATGCAAATTGCCACCATGTTCCAGGCCGCATCACGTGGCACATTCAGAAAGTGTCTCGTCTCATCAAGCAAGCATCAAGCAAGCTTGACATTGTCATTGAGGTCCAAATAGCGGCATATTACCCACCAGCGGGCCCTGTCCCCAGGCCCAGGTCCAGTCGAATGCGCCGAACCCAATGTCCATGAACGGTGAATCGAATTGTCGAACGACTGACGTAACAACACCCCAAGTTAGCGCCCCGGTCTCGGAACGCGCGACGTTCTTGATGATTCACACAACCGCTGTGCGGAAAGAGGCACTCCAACAGTCGCCTCGCTACCGAAAAGGCTGAACAAGATGTCAGAACCATGCACAAGTTTGCCCTCCAAGCCGTCTGAAGCCGCGGCGCAGGACGTTGATGCGCTGGACGTCGATACCGGTTGAGCAGACGGAGTTCGATGAAAGCTTGAAGCTTATGCCGCCTTGAATACTTTGCCGGTACTGACGTTGATCATTTGCCAACGTGCTGTTCTCAAAGACCAGGCAAACTGGACGGGCCAGTACACGTGATAGAGCCACCAAAATGGCCATGGGTCACTTACCTCGAAGGTTGCATCCTTCCAGTGGCAAAGGTGATGCCAAAACTTGCACCACGACTGCTGAATTGAGGTATCACCGCCGTTGGGCATGAGTAGTGCTCGAATGGTGGGCAAGATAGCGAGCTCGACCAAGTCCTGGCCCAACCAATAGTACTTTCGATAAGTTCTAGGATACCGAGGCTCCACCGGCTGGTGAGCCACATCTGGCTCCAGTACACTTAGATAATCTTCTACCAGCCCTGGTGTTTCGTTGAAGAGTACAACGGCCGTGTGTACCCTTGGATTGCACTCTATCGGGTAAATCTCCGCATGCTGGTCTTCCTCTAGATTACTGCTGGCTTTCGACCTGACGATGAAGTCGAAGCTCAAGTGCCCCGTCCAATCCGTGGAGTCCTTCTCAATGATCGATCTCGTGAAGTGCAGCATTTTCTGGCTGAGATGTGACGATGGTGATAGTGCCGAGTAGTGCATCAGGACGCTTGCAGAAGGACAAGCAACGAAGGCACGAATTTGGCCTCGAATCACCAGAGCATGTGTGCAGTACTCCCTGCCCTGAATGTATTCTTGGACTTGGAAAGACGGAACCCGATTTCCATTCTTGAATGGGATCGTGTTGATCGCCTGTATTGTGTCTTGCTCGATATCCCGGGGCACCAAAGCCATGTCGAAGCGAGCAATGTCGTTGACATCAACCGGTTTGACCAGGTATTGCGTACCGCCGGATATGCTGAGTGACAAGCCGCCTCGAGCTGATAGAAACTCGACAAGTTCTGCAGCGCTTGAGACAGTTTTCGTTTCCGGAGCCCTGAGACCGATTGAATGAACATGGTTCATAAACAACGCCTTGTTGTGCAGCATTTTGACTTGGGTCTCTTGCAGTTGAATAACCCTCGTATTGGTACAGGTCTCAATAAGCTGCTGAGCCTGTGCATCTTGTATGGCCGCGTTGACGTCTGACACTGATACCCAGAGATCGACCTTCTCTGCTGTGATGATCTGCAATAGCGAGGTTACGTACGCCGTCGTGTGAGCGCTGAGAGGCTCAAGCTCCGTGTCGCACGGCTCGGGAAGGACATAAAACTGGCTAAGAGCCACGGAAACCCTTGCCGGTGATAGTCGGTGCGTGTCTGCCCCTACGACTCGATGGCCCTGACTGTGAAATAATCTAGCCGTCGAGAGGCCTTTATTCATGTTGACACCAGTAACCAGGATGGTCTTGGCGACTTCTGGCGCCCCACGTTTTGGGTTCAGCCATGTTGACAAAATCGTGTACACCTGGCACACCAGAACGACAAGACTGGTGAACGGCAGGAACGTTAGGCTCAGGCAGAGGAGGGATATGTTCTTAATGACGTGCCGGATCATCGGCGTCACTGATTTGTGATGAAGACCCATTGACGATGCACTGTTTACTGGAGGATGAGGTAGAACGTGAGAGTGGCACCATCTGAAGGAACGCTTGTACTTGGCCCAGGTAATAACGGCCACAGAGCCTACAATTTCTTTTCCAGAGAGGGGAAGTGCGCGTCATAGACATGCAGCTTTCGCAAATCTAGGCAATGCTCTGCACCTTGGTCGAACTGCATGCGCATTTGTGATCTTGGCAACATTTTGGCACATGGGTTGTTTGTCCGATTGATTAACTTCCTAATCGCTTATCAATCCCGCTTTCACACTTTTCCGCTTTCATGCTTCCACGCTCACGACGTGTCTTTCCCAACACATTTAGTTATCTCCACACCATCCTAAAAGTCCGCAAATGAGCCAGTTTCCATAGTACAAGGTAAAATAGACTCACAGGTATTCCAGTAGGCTCAAAGCTATGGATGAGCTCACTCTGGTATATGAGACTAGGATCACCACGTGCCGCAGCGTCCTCCATCATTCTGTTGCGCGCCGCTTGTTGCTTGTCTTCCACTGTGCTCCTCACATACTCTAGGTATGGCGGGTTGCCCGGCTTGATGACGTTGTCCGCGGCCAGTACGCTGCCAGGGCGGACCAAACGCAAGCTTTCGCAGGTCTTCAAATCCGGGAGGTAAGCTGGCTTAATGTGATCCAGAAATAAGAGATCGATGGATTCCAGAATGCCACTGGAATGCAGTCTCTTGAGAGTAACATCTGCCGAGCCAACATGGATTTCCACGATGGAGCTCAACCCTGCCAGCTCGACCATGGACCTTGCGACAGCGGCAAAATCGGGATTCTTCTCGATGCAAATGAAACGCTCCCCACCTGCGTTACGCATGGCATCGGCAAATAAGACTGCCGAATAGCCTACATAGCCTCCAAGTTCGACCTATTGCAGTGTCGCAGTTAGTGACCACTAATGTGCATCAGGAATTCAATATCGGCTTCGCTTACCATTATTTTCGGCTTCAGGCTGGCGATCAAGTCGGCAACGATGGCGCCTTTCTCAGACCCAATGTTCATAAGATACTTACGCTGCCTGCCAAATTCGTCGATGGCTGCCAGAACCTCCTGAGGCGATCCTTTCAATCTCTCAAGACTCGGGTGAGAACACACGTAGCGCTGAAGCTCGACCTCGCGTCCATCGTTGAAATATACGTCCTCTTGCTCGGCATAGGCCTTGGAGGAATCGAAAACGGCCATACTTTCGGCTGAAAAGTCGCAAATTGTAAGTAGTACGATTTCTCGAGAACCAAGTGATAACGCAAACAAGGCCGAAGTACCCAAATCAGGAGAAGGAGATGCGAGACGAGGTTTCGATTCAATACGAAAAAGACAAAAAGAGAACAACCCAATCAATCCAGAAAACAATGGGAATTCCCTTCACCGCCGATGCGAATTGCAGAAAACATTGTGATTCTACAAATTCGATGACGCGTATACATGCAGATTTGCATCCGTCCAACATGGGCAAAACATATCCATGGGCAATAAGCACGTTCACCTTGACGCGCGATGATTCATCAAGGTCATATTCTGCTCCTACTTCGGCAAGGCTGCGGGTCAAAGATGCGGGAAGATCGATCTAGACAATCTGGTCGGAGTTCCATCGAATCAACTGCCGCAAGCGTCCCCATGCCCAGAGTTGGGGTGATGTCACAATTGCATACACCGCGAGACTCCCCGTATAGCTTGAGCGAGCTGAATGCAGATCTACTGCGGGGTTGCACCAATAAACACGCCATCGCGGGTGTGCCTTCAGGTACCAGATGGGCTGTACACGCTACCCTAAGGATTCGAGCTTGCACCCGATCTACTAGGGAGTTTTTTTTGTGCCAACAATGTGAAATTTATTGAGTTTCGCTTTAGTCGCCCTTGCATTTGTAGTGACTCATTGGGATTCGTACTTGTTAAGATCATGATGCATCATTGTCTAGCTTCAATGTAAAGATGGTCGATGACATGAGCAGGGGTAGTTACAACGACAGCGCCTATATAAAGCCTGATCAATCGTGCTCCTTTCCCGGGATAAATCTCTCAGCCCTACAACAAAACAATCTACAGCTGCTACAGTGTACCGCCACAATGTCGGATATGAATGCGTCAGTCACGGAGAATGCCAATGGCTTCCAGGTCTGTGGCTACGAAAAGATTGAGTATGATTTTGAGTTTCTTGACGGTGTTTTCGACACGGCAAACGGTAATCTTGCAAACTGCTACCGGGTTTGGAATCGATGCCTCGCCGTTATGGACCACAACATTCACACATTGTATGGCGAACGCATCGAAGGCTACTTTGCCCACCACGGTCTCGAGCTTAGGATTCACAAGACTATGATTGGCGAGAAGGCCAAGAATATGGAGACTCTTCTTGCCATCGTGGACACCATGACCGACTTCGGGATCTACAGAAAGGAACCTGTACTGGTCGTCGGAGGTGGCCTCGTGACTGATGTGGCTGGGTGAGCACGCAGCGCTATGCTTTCCAACCTGTGTGATTACTGACCTTTGCTGCCAGCTTTGCATGCGCAGCATACCGAAGAAACACAAACTACATTCGCATTCCTACCACTGTCATTGGCCTCATTGATGCTTCCGTCAGCATTAAAGTAGCTGTCAATTACGGACAATACAAGAACAGGTTGGGAGCATACCACGCTCCCATGCACACGTTCCTCGACTTTACTTTCCTCCGCACGTTGCCTATCTCACAGATTCGCAATGGATTTGCCGAGCTGATTAAGATCTCATCTTGTGCTCACAAGGATACGTATGACTTGCTAGAGAAGCATTGTGAAGATCTCATCAACACAGGCTTTGGACGAGCAGATGGCGCCTCGAAAGAGCTCATTGCCACCGCCGATAAGATCTGTCGTGCTGGCATATTCGAAATGTTGAAACTTGAGTCCCCCAACCTTCACGAGATTATGCTCGACCGAGTTATTGCATATGGTCACACGTCAGCTAAGCTTCTTATGTCTCTTATTCGACGTTCAACCTAACACCTCAGCAGTTGGTCCCCGTTGCACGAGCTTGTACCCGAGCCGCCTCTACGCCATGGCCACGCCATCTCCATCGATATGGCCTACTCGGCAACTCTTTCTCGTTTACGAGGGCTTATCACTGCCGAGGAGCATATGAGACTGCTGATGCTCTTCTCTCGAGCGGGGCTGTCAATGGATCATCCTCAGTTTGACACCGCCGTACTCGAAAAAGCTACAGCTGCCATCCTCAAGACCCGAGATGGCAAGCTTCGCGCCGCTGTACCTGTTACCCCCATGGGAACCTGCGTCTTCCTCAACGATGTTTCGAAGGAAGAACTGGCAGCTGCACTTGAAAGTCACAAGGCCTTGATGAATAAGTTTGCCCGGCGAGGTGCGGGTATTGACGCTTTCGTGGACGCCAGTGACACCGGATATACTGTTCAAGGAGAGACGACAACGTTGTCGAATGGCCGTGCGCCTGCTGCTGTCGACTTTGTGGCAGATGAACAAAAGTTGAATGGCAATGGCAATCTGTCATCTGATGGATTCAAGTCAGGTTCTAACCATGGAACAGCTATGGACGGCTTGATTGATCAGAGACAGGCAATCAAGGTCGTAGATGGTGGCTCTTCTTGACATGGCCCAATGGCTTGATTCTCCATTATAAAATATATGTATTTTCCCCCATACACTTTGTTGAACTTTTTTCCATTCGGGGAGTGGCATAGCAATGAGTAACATGTTGTGTGATATCTTGCGTCTGGGTGCTGACGTTGTAGACATTCTTAGGATGAAAGATCTAGACTAGGCAGATCGCCGCCCTGAGCTGCGTGCGTACAAAAAAGGACAAATTTCCGCACATAATATATAGCCCGAGAATGAATGCTGATATTGAGTGAGGTCACACGGAAGATGTTAATAATGAGGCTCCAATAACTATGACAGTGCGATATGAAGGGTTGGCTAATCATCAAAGCTCCCAGGTCAAAAACTCCAAAATGTAATTGCTGTGCATGAAGATAAATAACCCATTTCATCCGGTCCATCTGCTGACGACCCAGGTTCAGTTATCAACGGCCTGAACAAGAGCACCCGCTCGACCTTGATCAAGGCCATCCAGTCCAACCATATCATCATTATCGAGTGTGAACTGGACAGTGAAGTTTGCCTCAATCCTGGCTGGATTGTCGCTTTTGGGAAGAGGTACCCAGCCTTTCTGCAAGCTGTATTTGATTAAAATCTGACCTGGTGCAACATCGTGCTTTTCGGCGACACGTTGCAAGGTGACATCATCAAATCTCTGGCCTCTTGCCAAGGGGCAATACGCTTGAACAGTGATACCATGATCGTTGCAATAGGACACAATTTCTTTTTGCTGAAGCCAAGGATGTAGCTGTCACGGCTTTAGCGTTATGACATACATCGAGGGAACACATAGTAAATTCACCTCGATTTGATTGACTTGCGGCGGCCAAATCTTCGCGGTTTTTTTAAGACCCTCGATGTGCTGGATGCCAAAATTGCTGACACCTATACTCTTTGCCTTGCCTTCCGTATGAAGTCTCTCGAGGACCTGCCACAGAGTTTGTCTTTGGGACTCCCCGCAGTTTGGACTGTGTATCAGAAACAGATCCACGTATCCTTCATTTGGGTCAAGGTTCGAAATGCTCTCCACACATTTACGGTAGCTCTCGTCAAAGGAGGGACCGGCTGTGAGAATCTTGGTGGTCAGAAACAGCAATGAGCGAGGAATGCCGGACTGCTGCACCGCACGCCCAACCTCCCTCTCGTTTCCATAATATTGGGCAGTGTCAATATGGCGATAGCCGATATCAAGAGCCTTCAAACACGATCGTGTGCATACTTCAGGAGGAGAGAGATAAACGCCGAATCCAAGTTGCGGCATCATCGTTCCGCTCAGAAGGGTGACAGCCTCTGTTGTCGGCATGATCGGCATGTGTTGGGGAGTGCGGTGTGAGGGCTGGCGTTTAGAACAAGCTATATGACTTTCGCGTAAAAATTGTCTTCCCACACAGTATAGGGAAAATGTCTCAATCGTAGGTAGAGGAAAGTAATTGCCCAGGAAATAAGATTGGGATGTGGTGTAAACTTAACAGCAGATGCTACTAAATCCATGACGCGTATAAATGAGTTGAATAACAGGTCCAAGTTGGGCCGACATGCATCATATCGCTCAGCGATCAGATGCATGCAGTCATGACGCGTGTATTGCAGCATTGATCCGTCATCCTCTTAAGCGCATGCAACCAACACCAACAGCCAAGTCATGATGCAAATTTCCTGGAGAGATTGTGTCGAAAGCCCGAATGTCATCGCGCCTTCCTAAAATAATATTCTTTTTAGTTCTCGCCATCCCCACGCTGTCGAGAATCTCTCCAAATTCAACCAACATGTATCATCCGGCGCCAAACTACTTCACTTGCACCCTTGGGCAGGCCTACTTGCTTAAGCAAGATGCTCAGTCTCTTCCGTCTTTCACAACAATCACTGATATGATTGACAAACAAGCTAGCAACTTTCCCGATGTGCCAGCTCTAGGGCTCGCTGCATGCACTGAAGAAACAGGGAACATCCACGGTAACCTCCCCTGTGTACGGGCCAGATCAACCTGGAGGTCAGGTGGCAATCAGCTGAGCTCAAATAGGTTCTTGCCTCATAACCTTCCGCCATTTACGTGATCGCTCGGTACTCGCAGCCCGGGCATTGCGGCCACTTCTGAGCTCGTGCAACCGAACAGTTGCGCTGCTGTCTACTAGCGATCTGAACTTCGTGGCAGTCTGGGCAGGCTTGATTCGTCTTGGATACAGTGTGCTGCTTTTGGCGTAAGCTTGATCGTGCGGAATCGAACTATTCACTATCTTTAACAGTTTGTAGGCCACAGTCAAAGTCGCAGTCCATCGAACATCTTTGCAACGAATTAGACATCAATTGCATACTAGCAAACACACCCCACACTTCGATAAGCTTCAAGCTCGGGGTCAATGTTCAGGTAATGAAGATACCACAATTTTCGATGCTCTCAGAGGCCCAACTCCAAGCTGAAGGGTCGGATCTGGAAACTGAATTCGGGGATCGCGACCCACCATTCTACTTCCATACCTCGGGTACATCAAAGGGATTGCCAAAGCCCATACCACAAGCAAGCAGTATTGTGAGTGCCTTGCCTCGTCTAGGCACTGCAAGTCAGCCGGCCACCTTCTCCACTACACCTCTGTATCATGGTGGGCTCATCGACTGTCTCCGATGCTGGAGCAGCGGCGCAATGCTCCGGTTATTCCCCGAAGCTGAGCTCCCAGTCACAGCTGGAAATATTGTGCGTTCGATTGACGCTTGTCGTAAATCCTGCACAATTCCTATCCAGTACTTTTCTTCGGTTCCGTACGTGTTGCAAATGCTGGCAGAAGACGACTGCGGCATTCGAACGCTACAAAGTATGAAGCTGGTCGGCGTGGGCGGTGCCGCTTTGGCGACCGTTATTGGCGACAGACTCGTTGCAAAAGGTGTTAACCTTTTGTCTCGTTTTGGCAGCGCCGAGTGCGGATTCCTGGCCTCATCACATCGAGACTATCCTTTCGACAAAGAATGGCAATACCTACGGTTTGGTGATGTCAAGGATTTTGTCAAGTTTGAAGGCCGGCACGATGACCTAGCAGAGCTTGTGGTTAAGCCTACCTGGCCCTCGAAAGCCAAGACAAACTTGGACGACGGCTCGTACGCCACATCTGATTTGTTCTCACGCCATAAGTCTCTCCCCGATACCTGGATGTATCACAGCAGATTGGACGCTCAGGTAGTTCTATCGAACGGCAAAAAGTTCGACCCATCGACAACGGAGCTTGACATCTTGGCGAGTTTACCACAGCTGCGGGACGTCTATATCTTCGGCGATGGACGTCCACAGCCTGGTATGTTGATATTTCCTTACAGAAGCCTTGCTCCAAAGAACCAAATTATTGCCGATGTGTGGCCAGAGATTGAAAGAGTCAACTCCACGCTTCCCATCCATGGTCAGATTGCCCTGTCAATGATAGTCGTGATCCATCTCGGCCAGGATGAAGTTATGCTTGAAAAGAGCAGTAAGGGAACGACTTTACGACAGCAAGCCGAGAAGAGGTATAGTGCGACCATAGAGTCTGCCTACGAACTGAAAGACCACGACCGTAAAAGCTCTCATATGGTGAAAGATTCCGATCTATTTCTGGCCACTATGCGATGTGTGTCTCGGGTTGTTGGTCGCGATATCGACCCCAAGGCCGATCTCTTTCGTCAGGGCATCAACTCCATGACCTGTCTTCAGATTCGGAAGGCCTTACAGTCCGCGCAATTGATACAGTTCGATTTTATCCTTCCGCTCAACGTTGTATATGACCAAAGAACCATTGCAGGGCTCGTATCCTACCTGCGCCGTGTTCGAAATGGCCATGGACAGACAAATCGCATCGACACCCAGCCACAACAGCAGCATGCCTACATGCGGCATCTGGCACAAAAGTACCAAGTCCTGCCTGGTTCTGCAAGACCACGGACACAATGGAAAGAAAAGCCCTGTAACGTTGTGCTTACTGGCGGAACTGGCTTCCTTGGAAGTTGTATACTGAAACATCTCAGCCAGAGAAAGGATGTCGACAAGATCTACTGTCTCGTCCGAGCCACGACAGATGGAGAAGCAAGAGCACGCATATCACAATCAATACTGGACCGTCATGGAAAATCTTTGGAACTACTCAACACCTCGTGTCAGATCATCTGCCTGCCTTACGATGCAGATAGCTGTCAATCAAATCTGTCAACGTCAACAATCGAAGAGATTTCCAGAGATGCCACAATCTTCATCCACGCATCATGGACAGTCAACTTCCACGTCCGTTGGAAGCTTTCGAGGGCCAGCTTGCAGGAACCCAAAGATTGCTTGAG